CGAAGTGGGGATTCGAAGGGCCCATTAATTGTTAGTCCCGACGCCCACCGCAGCCACAACTGGGGCCGGCGCCATTGTTGCCTTGACTGTTTGCTGATTGAATGAGATTATGAGGGTCTCCGCCCTGGCGCAATCTATCGATCTCACTTGAACTGACCTAACTCGATAGCTTCGGAATTCCTGCCTCTGCCGCATCTGTAGATCGGAGGATAATGACTATAGTACGATGAGGATTGAAAGAAAGGAAGTAAAGAATAGATATTGCTGCAGTACGGATAGAAACATTGCCAATAACGCCAATAATCAGCCGAATCATGCGCATCGGCAGGGCAGCAAGTCAAAGCAAATTGGTCTGGACCAGAGGGAGCAGCATCTCGGTTTCTTGGGCGTTTCCACTGGCCGACTTTCCCGTGCGATCGGCGAGGTTTCCGCATCGATCAACTCCTGCTCTATTGCTGCTGCCATCCATGGATGGAGCTCTGTGGATGGGAGTGAGAGTTTGTCAGTCAGTCAGTCAGTCTGTCTGTCTATCTGTCTGTTCGTCGTCTTTTCTTCATAAGAGTTCCCCACTTCGTCCCTCTTCTGTCTTCCTGTCATCTCAATAGTCTTGTCTCTTTTCTCCTTTTCCTTTCCACCTTCTTTCTTCTCTCGCACACACACACTCTCTCTCTCACCCATCTTCTCGCTCACTGCATTTGCTTCAGCTGTTCGCTCTATTGTACTTCCATACTGCTTCCCACTTGCTTGTATAAAATACCGGCGAGTTCTTTTCTTGCCTTGCTTATCAAAACCTCTAATAGATCCCATGCATAATTAAATCATTTGAGCGGTATGTATCGATTCTAGTAATCTTATTTATGGCAATCGTCCCCACCAGTGTTCACTCGACACTCTCGCTCGTGCGCTTCTTACTGTCTCACCTCAATTTCCCCACGGACTGTCCACAGCAGCTTGGCTTTTTCCATTTAAAAAAACTATTCCCTCCTATTCCCTGGCTGTTCTTCGGTCGATCCATCTCCTGTTTCTCATTTACCCATGTCGGCCTTTCTCTGACTGTCTGCACAGATTTGAGAGTTGACCAGGTCAATCGATACCGTTATCGATCAGGTGACAGACTTTGAGCCTATTAGTTTCGTCGACTGGCCCGGTGCCAGCATGTCACACCCATCGGACAATCTTCAAGTTCCGGTACATCAGCATGAGAAGAGATTAGAGGGCGACACCCCCGATACCGACGAGGGAACCTACTACGATGGCTCCACCAGCGGGCACGGCAATCACCTTCGGGTAGATACCTCGTATGACTATGATCCCGCTGCCTTGCGCTCACCTGCGACTGCACGAGAGGAGTCGATGCGCCTGGAAGATGATCTGGCCGTTCTTGAGGCCGAGCGCATGGCATCCCGTTCCACCACGCAGGAGGGGTCGATGAGAAAGGGCGAAGACGACGGTGCCTCGATGGCCAGATCTCGCTCTCGTCCATCTCAGCATGTTGTTGATGAGTTTGATGAGGCGACCAACCCATTGCACGAGAAAGCGGCAGTCTACAACCCTCCCGAGAACCCCAACACCAACATCGCCAGATTCATTAAGAAGCTCCATGAGTCGAGTTTCATTGTGCGCTACCTCACCTACATTGTGCCACTAGTTCTGATCCTGTTGATTCCTTTGTTGGTCGGTGCCCTAGCGTTTCCGGACGCCAATGTGGGAGGAGTTAAGTTGCTCTGGTTTTCGGTCTGGTTGGAGATTGTCTGGTTGACTTTGTGGGCCGGAAGAGTGAGTGCAAACCATTCAATGATGTCAGGCTAGATACTAACCTTAATTGCTCTCTTCTAGATTGTCTCGAAATGTATCCCAGTTCCAGCTGGCTGGATTGCTAGTATTTTCACCAACAACGCCAAAAAGTGGCGTGACATGGCCAAACAGCTCGAGCTCCATGGCACCTTGTTCTTTTGGTGGCTAGGTGTGGAAATCTCGTTCCTGCCCACCATGAAGAACCATCACGTCGACGGTAGCCACGGCACAAAATCCTGGGAGAATACAGTCAACAAGATCATCATCTCTATCTTTGTATGGACAATTCTGAACCTGGTCGAAAAAGTCATCATCCAATTCATCGCCATCAGCTTCCACACCCGTACTTACGCGGATCGCATTGAGATCAACAAATTTCAGATCGGCAGTCTGACTAAACTTTATGACTTCTCTCGGCGAAAGATCACAGCTGAAGACACGGAGTTCGAGGAAAAAGACAAAGGTACCCCAACCGGAATGAAGACCCCGCTGCATTATGCCGGAAAGGCAGGACGTCTGGCCAAGGGGGCCTTGAACAAAGTGGGAAACAAGGTGGGCGACGTGGCTGGCGCAGTTGCTGCCGACTTCACTGGCCGCACGGTTAATAACAGCAGTCACCCGTATCAGGTGGTGCTGACCTTGTTGCGCACCACGAGTGGCTGCCAGGTCCTGGCTCGTCGACTCTATCGCACTCTGGTGCGGGATGGTTTCGAGACCGTGTTTTCTGGAGATCTCAAGGAAGCCTTCGATAACAACGAAGAGGCGGACGCCGCTTTCACCATGTTTGACAAGGATATGAACGGAGATATCTCGATGGAGGAGTTGGAAGCAGTGTGCGTGGAGATCGGACGGGAGCGCAAAGCCATCACCGCATCACTGAAGGACCTGGACTCTGTCGTCGGCAGGCTCGACAACATTTTGGAATTTTTCGTGATCATCATTACCGTGATCGTCTTCCTGACGCTCATCTCGACGTCCGCCGCCGGAGTGTTGACCTCTGCCGGGTCTAGTATTCTCGCATTGTCGTGGCTTTTCTCCGCCACCGCGCAGGAATTTCTCCAATCCATCATCTTCGTCTTCGTGAAGCATCCATTCGATGTTGGTGACCGTGTGACTATCTATGGTAACGCAGGCGATGCCGGTTTGGGTGATGACTACTTTGTCAAGCAAATTTCGCTTCTGTACACGGAGTTCAAGAAGATGCAAGGCCATGTTGTGCAGGCCCCTAACAGTTACCTCAACGGTTTGTTCATTCTGAACCAGCGTCGGTCCGGTGCACTGGCGGAAGCAGTGCCCATCGTCATCAAATATGGTACCACTCTCGAGCAGATTGATGCCCTACGCCAGCGCCTGTTGGAGTTTGTCCGCAGTGAACGCCGTGAATTTCAGACCAACATTCTCACCGAAATGCGCACAATCACGGAGAACTTCTCTGTAACGCTCAATGTTGTCTTCTTCTACAAGTCGAACTGGCAAAACGAAGGCTTGCGTCTGCAGCGCCGCAACAAGTTTATCTGTATGTTGATGGTTGCCCTTCAGGAGATCGGCATCGAGGGACCACGCATGAACCTCCAGGGTGCCGGTGTCGATATTCCTTTCCACATTGCCGGGTTCCCGCAGCCTCACATGCCCGCTACTCCTGGCAGCAGAGATGGCAATCCTCCCCCGACTCCTATTGGCGACCATCACGGCTATGCGCCCGAGAATACCGGGTTTAGTAGCGCTACCCGTCACCCATCTATCCTCCGCAAAGGCATGAACACTGCTGCCGCCCGGGCTCGTGGTGATTCTATGCTCTCCCGCAAACACGTGGATTTCTCGCTGGGCATGCGGGATATCTCCTCTGGCGATGTCATGGGCGACGTCTTCGAGGATCGCCGCGCCCGAGTTGAGGACATTGTCCGAACCACTAACCGGGAGAATACCGAGCGCCGCATCCAAGAAGAGGAGGAAGAAGAGGCCGAGCGTCAGAGCCGTAACTCATCCTCCCGCCGTCGCAGCAACTCCAATCTGAGCGTCCCGTCCACTTCGCGCGCAGGTCGCCGATCGGTTGACTCCCAGGGCGGGCACAGTGTGACCTCTATCACCCACAATCGTTTCTTCCGGCATCATCGCAGCAGCATCAGCCGCGCGCCCGACGATCTGATGGAGCAGGGCCGCTCCGATCAAGGCGCCAGCACGGATGCCCCTGGCTCCGATCTCCATCCGAGCGTATCTCATCCTGCGGAGAAGCAATAATTGCATCTGGAGGATCTCGTGATATTGAAAAGTACATCATAGATAATAAAAATGTAGATAAAGCATTTCTTTCTGATTGAATAGTTTGCAAGATCAGTCAATATTAAATCATATATAGAAGATCGTACCTCTCTCGTCTATTGAAAGTGGGTAGAGTTAAGGCTGAGACTTACTGTCAACCTTATTCAACTTAAAGATCCTGTAGTTGATACCAAAGGAGCGATGTAGCAAAGCTATCAAGCTTCTCCATCTCGTCCACCCTACGGAGCTGTGACGTGAGCGCCTTAATGCACTCATGCACGCCCTGTTGAATCTGCTTAGTCATGTCTTACATAGCTCCAGGAGATGGCCGAATCGAGTAACCGGACGGAATATGCAGAAAAAGAGCTAACTTAAGTGACTCTGTGTTACACGAGATTTATGCCATTGCCCATCACTCCTGACTGCCATATCAATTGACTGCGAAGGTCAGCCGACATGTTAGAAACCTCACATTCTCGTGCCATTTCTGCAGAATATGAAATCATCCTGTCTTCATCCGAGAAAAGTCATCACATTTCATACACATATAGTCCCGGAAGCATCAACAACTGCGGGAAAAGCGACTATACTCAAACTACATAATAGAGAACCGCCCAGACAATTCCAGACTGACTGACGGAAGCCCGCCCATTTCGCAGCGCAGAGAGATAGCAAAGCTAGCTCAACATGACTCAACACATTCGCCACGAGCCCGGCCCATCCATCTCCAAAGGACAGACAGCAGACACACAAGATGGAATGGATCCTGCGGCGACCCAAAACCGGTCTGGGCGGGCACCAGCGTCGCAGCGGGGCCCGCGGATCCCGAACGCTACCATATCATGAGTAGCAAGAACCCGGTTATTTGGATGGAGCGTTTTGTTTCACAATCAACAGGCTCAGGCTCAGGCCCATTATGCTTGGCAGTCGCTATTGGTTATTTTTTTTCTTAAATTGCTCTTTTTTCTTTTCCTCGTGCGGAAGCAAAGCAGGCATTCGGGAGAAATAGTGAAACAGCCCAGCCCTCACTTATCTTGTTCGCAGAAATATGCCACCAACCTGGCGTGGCCTGTGGCCAGGCCATGATGGGACTCCGACGCCTCCGAGGTTCCTGAAGTTCAGGTCCTCCGATGGCTTTATCATGTTCGTTGTGTCTTTTGCTGTGTTCACGGTATGTCTTTGGATAATGGAGACCTATGAAAACCATAATGATTGACGTTGAAATTAGGATATTCTTTTGTATGGGCTAGTATGTGGATCCCTTCAGAAGGGCGCCGCCCCCCCCCCCCCCTCCCTGCCCTGTGATCTAGACTCTTCTGCCAGGTGCCGCTTGAATGCGTTTCCGCTCTCTAACCTTATTCTCGAAGATTGTCCCGGTTGCTCCCACGGCTCTTCATGAAAGAGTGGGTTTGTCTGTTGATGAAGGTACGTCATTACCATGAGGTGTAGTCGTGTCAAACCACTGATCATTTTTATCAATGTGATGGCACAGAGCAAAGATGGACGTCCATCCTTCTAGCTCTATACGGCGCAGCTTTACTAGCCACCTCGCGTGAGTAGCCGCCTTTACTTTATTTCCCCCTTTCATCATCTTCAACCCAACTTCCAATACTAACTATCGCATGCAGCGGTTGCGGGCTACATAGCGGACCGCTTTGACTCCCGCTACTGGCCCTTGATCACCGGCCTGGTAGCTCTGGGGGCATCGACCGCGTTGCTCTGCGTGGGGACGAACCTGACGCTCTGGATCCTCGGCCGACTGTTTCAGGGCGCTTCTGCCGCTATTGTCTGGACGGTGGGACTGGCGCTGATGGTCGACACCGTCGGCCGGGACGGCCTCGGGCAGGCGATGGGCTACATCGGCATGGGCCTGACCCTGGGCATCATGGGGGGCCCACTCCTCGGCGGCGTCATCTACGGCCGCGGGGGTTACTACGCGGTCTTCGGGCTTGCTTTTGGCCTCGTCGGCGTGGATATTGTCCTCCGGTTGGTGATGATCGAAAAGAAGCATGCCGTCAGATGGCAGCAGCAGCAGCCACCGCCGCCGCCGCCGTCAAAAGACAAAGACGCAACCCAGAAAGAAGCCGACCAACCATCCTCACCTTCCTCCGCCTCATCATCCGACACAATCCCCGAAAAGGCCTCCGATCTCGAGCAGCAACAGCAGCAGCACATAAACCCCCCGCAACCCCAACAAAAACCAACGCAAGCCAACGCAATCACGACCCTCCTCTCCTCCCCACGCATGCTGGTCACCCTCTGGACATACTTCATCATCTCCCTAGTCTTCAGCTCCTTCGACAGCGTGCTCCCGCTCTTCGTCGAAGACACCTTCGGCTGGGGCCAGCTGGGGCAAGGGCTGATCTTCATCCCGATCTCGGTGCCGCACCTCCTCGACCCGGTGGTCGGATACGTGAACGACAGGTTCCCCACGATCCGCCGGTACCTGGCGGCGGGCGCGCTGGTCGCCACCGTGCCGGCCATCGTCGCGATGCGCTGCGTGACGGCCAACGCCCTCAACGACAAGGTGCTGCTCTGCGCGCTGCTGGCGCTGGTGGGCGCCTGCCTCGCCGCGCTCATGCCCCCCGTCATCGTCGAGGCCTCGTACGTCGTCCAGGAGAAGGAGGCGCGCAACCCCCACATCTTCGGGAAAGGTGGCGCCATGGCCCTGGCGTACGGCATCCTCAACGTCGCCTTCGCCGCCGGCACCATCGCCGGCCCCTTCTTCGCCGGCTTCATTCGCCAGACTGCCGGCTGGGCCACCATGACCTGGGCGCTGGCCCTGGTGACCGGCCTATCGGCGGTTCCCGTCGTCTTGCTCCTGGGCGGGTTTCTGTTTCACAAAAAGAGGGGCAGCAGCGAGAAGATGGATGCCGGTGGTGGTGGCGGTGGTAGTGGCTCGAGCGATTGAGAGAGCGGCTTCGAACAAAATGTCTCTCAGATGATGCTTGTTATATACATACATTCCGGTAAGGACGAGGCGGCGGATCTCACGACATGTTGATACTTCCTCTTCTCCTCTCCTTTCTACATACATACATAGATACTTGTACATAATGATCAAATGAGTTCACAAGATGTGATTGAATTTTAAATACTCAACTCCGGGGATGCTATATATACAGGACCTGGATAGAGATATTGAAAAGAAAACAAAAAGGCAAGAGAAGAAGAATGACAGAAGATAGAGAGAATGGCCATGGGACAGGGCATTAGCAATGCGCCACATATATCCAGCTTGCATCGCAAAACAAATCCGGTCGGGGAAGTATATAGATAGTTGCAACCCGATCCAAATTTTGGGCAGAATTGCCAGAACCAGTACGGTATACCCCCACCACGACTTTTTTTCTTTCGATATTCTCTCTCCATTCTCCCTCCCACTTTTGCTGCAGAGCGACAGTCATACATACATACAGGCAAAGGGAGATGCAATTTTGAGGATCACGGAGTGAGTAGAATTGAACCAAGAGTTTGAACACAAAGGAGAAGAGAGAATGATCTGGCAGGCGAACAACGGGGTCATGTCAAAAAGAGAACGGCGAGATGCAGATGAATGAGTCCCAAGCGGACAAGAAGAAAGATGACAACGAAAGAAGAAGACAGAAAAAACATTCAGACAGCCTGATTGCGGTGGTTCAACGCAGAACAACTCCAGAAACACCCGCTCAGCCTTGACATGCATGCGAGAAAAGCAAAATATCTGATAGCACGAAGAAAAGTTGAAACAGGATTCTCAGGGGGTGTGTCTGATGAAGGACGGAGGTTTTGTGAGAAACAGGAATCGAAGCAAGCCGGCCCGGACGGCAATCGTACAAGACAGCGACGGCGTCTATCTTTCTAGGACCAAATGACGAGATACTTATTCTATCGCTGAGACTCATCGTGAGCAGTGCCAGAGTAGAAGCTGGGCAAGGGGGTAGGCAAAGGCCGAGGTGTCGCTTCGGCGTCTGTAATCTGATCAATAGGTGCATCGGGGGATAAGTCTGCAGCAGAGTAGGTTTCGCTTATTTTGGAACGGGGAGTGTCGAAATCGTCTTCCACAGGGGCCAGGTCAAGATTGCCCTTCGGAAAGACGACCGGAGGCGTGATATGCCCTTTTTTGAAAGGCTCAACGTTGGGCTCGTGAATGGTACCAGGCGCAGACCTAGTGTCGGGTGGAGACGATTCATCCAAGAAAATGGCAGGTGGGTCCATCCTGAATCCTAGCTCTCGCGTTGGAGAGTGCTTAGGGCTATATTCCTCTTCCTCCTCTTCTTCCACAGTGCTGATGATCGTCTCCTCGGGAATATGGAGGCCCTCGTACTTCCTCTCCATAGTGAAAGGGTGAAGGCCACCGTGCTCTTCGCTATCACTGATTCCAGAAGAACCACCACTCCTGCGTCTTTCCATGGACTCTCTCTCCTTCTTCAGTAGCTCCTCACTGCCGCTGACCACGCTTCCTCGACTGTTCGTCCTCATCATCTCAATGCCCAACTTGGAACCCGGTCGATGGGTTCGGTGACGTGGACTACAAGTTCGCGAGGGGGTATTGCCTAGCTCTTCATCCTCGTCATCGCCGGACTCGCCGCACTCATACCGATTCCTCTCCAACGACTCTCTCTTGGCACGAATTGCCTCGCTAGATCGCTGTTTGTGGGGGGTCGTAGTCGCCTCCGAGGGGACGGTTGCTGGGGCCGAATCCGAGTGAAGCAGGTTGGGGAACGGAACTGCCTCGGGACCGCTCCTGTAGCCAGCATCTGTGCTTCTTCTGGCCTTATTCGACTCTTCGTTTATGCCAAGTCCGCCCTTGCTAGGGGTCCAGTCGTCATTGTTCCGACTCACAATCACAGGAACATCATCAGTCTTGACAGATTCCATGTCACCAAAATAACTACTACCGATAGAGTCCTCGCGACTAGATCCTCGGTATGAGCTAGAGGGAACATGCACAAAGCCAGAGGATGCCGTCGAACTCGGGCTATGCTCAACCTGACTCGGAGGTTGGCGGAGCATAACTGGTGCTGGCATTGACAGGGGATTGTAATCCTTTGGAGGTGGCTTCCACTGACAGAATTTACACAGTGCTTCAGTCAACTTCGTTGTCGTAGGAGGTTTCTGGATTAGGGAGTCAAAATGGTGTGTTTCTGGTAAATCTTTGAGATAGCCTGTGACTGCAATGATAGGTGTATGTCGGTTCGCACTGCGAGTCTCGCGTACCATGCGCGCTACATCCGCACCATTGACTTGTGGTAGTTTGAATTCTGTCATGATTATATCGAACTGGATATCACTCAGGGCATAACGCATAGCCTCCGCACCATTGACAGCCGTGATTGTGCGACATCGAAGCTTTTCGAAAAGACGTTCCATGACAAGTCGAGAGACGGGATGATCCTCACAGATGAGCACGTCCAGAGGCCGGAAGAAGGGCCCCTCGGGGAAATTGATCTGAGAGAGTCGCCTGGAGCTTTGGCGGCGCCGTTGGACCTTGAGTAAGGCTTTGGTTCGAGGATCTTCGTTGTCCGAAGAGGAAGGAGAAACATCAAATAACTGACTCCGGCGTTTGTGATGAGTTCCCACGTAGGTCTCCTTTGCCAACGACGAGGAAAGATCGCCATCCTGAGAGCCAATGGTTTGTGACCTTGTTCGTGATGCGGGGGCACTGCCGTGACGTTGTCCTGAAGGAGTTTTGTCAGGAGAGTTTCCTGTAGCCCGCGTGGTCTTGATAGGTGATGACGCAGTCGATCCAAACTTCAGGCTTGTCATTCGATTCGGATCTGCTGTCGTCGTTTGCAACGAGCCGGTAGACTGAGAAGATGACGATCCTGACGTTTTCCTGCGCTCGTGGTTGTGGCCGGTACTGAACTGGACAAGCAATGGGGACGAAGGTTGAGATGGGCGACTGGGCGATGAGTTGGCCTGACTTAGGGCCGAAGGAGAGGATGGTCTGTTGTTGCCCTTACTTTGAGAGAGAGTCCGCTGCAAAGACATTGGCAATGGACTTCCCTCGAGAGAGGGCGGGGGAGCGGGTGCAGCTTGTTCTTGTCCTTGAGTTTGGGATGACTGAGCACCGGCAGATGACGGATGGCGTTGCTGAGCCTGCATCGCTTCTTGGCGCAATTTTTGGATCACATCTTTATTGGCTTTTTCGAGCATGGGAAGGTTCTTGAAAGAGAAACTGCCGAAGTCGTCGGCAGGGGCGGGCTCGCTCAGCCTCCTGCTTCGTGATTCTCGCACATGAGGCGGAATGTGGAGGGGCATCAAAGGCCGCTTCATTGCGTTGACTTGAGAGCGCACCTTGAACAATGCATCATGAGGCCGATCTTGAGGATATGGCCCGGCAGTCATCGGTTGTGGAGGCGTTGTTCCGTCCTCAGTCTCTTCGGTAAAGGCCTGAAGAGTAGCGCCCCGAGTATCAAAATACTCCGTGTCTTCTGGATTCTCGATATTTGGCACGAACTGCGCTTTGTCCTCTAACAAGGTATCCCAGTTGATATCCGAAAACCATCCGTGGCTGCGAATCTCGGCCCCACCATTTGGATACTTCTCCTCCACATTAGCGCCAATACGCTCTCGAGGATTGATGGTCATCAACTTGTTCATCAGATCTATCGCCTCGTCTGACGCCAAGTCTTCAGCTTCCTCAGGCCAATTGATCCTACGGTGAAGTATGTTGTCGAAGACCTCGTCCGGAGTCGCCGCATTGAACGGTGGATACCCAAATAGAAACTCAAACATGATGCAGCCCAAAGACCACCAGTCACTCATCTCATCTTGACCGACGCCGTTGATAGTCTCCGGGGCCAGGTAATCCGGGGTGCCCACGAAACGTCGATTGTGATCCTCGGGGTCGAAGAGTGCCATTAGAGGGGGCATCATCGACTGTTGAGGTGGAGTGCTATACGAAAATGAGTTGCTCAGAGTTGGCTGGAAAGGGAACAAATGAGGAGACTCCCCAGCCTCACTCTGACTCTCCTCCTCGAGCGTGTGGTTGGCTGTGGGAACAGGGACGGGCATCGAGCCCTGGGTTTCACCGCCCTCGTGGAGGGATAGTTGCTTGAATATTGCATTAAGGCTCTCGCTAGCTCCGCTGTCACTTCGATACCCTGACGCTCGCCGTGAATTTTGTCGGCTTGGTCCGTTTTGATTGAGGTTGAAATAGGATGGCTGAGGCATACTGCCCGCCGCATCGGGCGTAATCAAAGGGGTCGAGCCTGGCGAAGCACCGCCTTGAAAATCAAAAGATGCCGAGCGCGAGGATGTGATCGATGTCGTTCGAGGTAGCGATCCTTGTTTGAGTAGATCGGGCGCCGGCTCGTGGTTCATGCTCTTCAGCACACGCTTTTGACGCCCAACGAGTCCCATGCGGGACAACCCAAAGTCGGTCAGCTTGAGATGACCTGTCTGATCAATCAGAAGATTGTCAGGTTTGAGATCGCGATGCACGATGCCCCTGCTGTGAAGGTGCTCCACGCCGAGGACTACTTCAGCGATGTATTTTTTGGCCCAATCCTCAGGCAGTCCGCCCAACACTTTGACCAGCGAAGCACAGTCACCTCCGTTGAGATACTCCATTACCAGATAGAGATAGTCTTTACTGGAAAATGTCCAGTAGAGCTTAGCGACAAAATCACTCTCGCCCTGCCACATCATGATTGCACGTTCCGCCTTGACATTGGTTACTTGGTTTTTGGCAACCATGTCCGCCTTCTTCAACACTTTGATCGCAAAATATTCTCCAGTTGCCTTCTTCTTCGACAAATATACACTGCCGAACGCACCTTTGCTGATAGGCTTGATAATTTCAAAATCCTTGATCGAGAGCGGAGCTGGTCGTGGCTGAGGTTGGCTAACGGAGGACAGGTGTGGCGACACGGGCGGTTTGGCAACGTCAGATGACGTTGCCGACGATTGTCGACGATGGTGACGATAATGGAGCTGAGCCAACTCATTCGCATTCGCCGATGGCGACACTATTGGCGACGGCAGGCTATCAGCACCGCTAGAGAGACGGGCTCT